GTCCCCGCCCGCGTTCTCCAGCTGCAGGGACAGAAGGTGACACGCGGTCCCACACACATCGGGAAGGGGCTACCACTCGCCCGCCACCACTCAGTTCTGTCAGAGCAGGGGGCGCCCCAGGCCTGCAGGGTGCGAGGGGGGCTCACACACACATGCGCACACACGCACACACACACACACGGAACAGACAAGAGGCACGCAGGTAGACGCGCTCATACACAGGTAGGCCCACACCACACGCAGCCCAGCACGGGGGGTCTGAGCCAGCAGCCGCAGGAAGGGCCTGTGGGAAGATGACCATCCCGAGAGAGAGACTCAGGTCTGGACACCGGCAACCCCCGGGGCCACACATCCCTGCTGTGTTCTGATCCGGGAGCTCTGGGGACCCTGGTGGGCTGCCGGTGACGCTGTGCCGAGCCTGCCAGCTCTTGGGTCCATTCTAAGTCAGGGGTCATCTGGGGGTGGGGAGAGTGTGTGAGGACCTGGCCATGCACAGCAGTGACTGGAGCTTACTCCTAGCTCTGTGCTCAGGGCTCATCGCTGGCAGGCTCAGGGGACCCTCTGGTGCTGAGGACCAAGCCACGGCAGGGCGTGTGTAAGGCAAGTGCCTGGCTCTCAGCTCTCTCAGGCCCCCCAGGCGGTGGTCAGGGGTCACTCCTGCTGTTCAGGGGACTTTGTGGGGCCAGGGACTGAGCCACGCTGGGCTCTGTGCTAGGTGTCACCCAATGGTCCCCCCCTCTGGCTCAAAAGCTGAAAGGGTTTCTTTCTTTTTTGTTTCTTTTTTTAAAGTACTGAGCTCTGGGCCAGAGAGGAAGTACAGTGGGTAGGGCACTTGCCTTGCACGCAGCCAAGCTGGCATCCCATCTGGTTCCCCAAGCCCCAACAGGTCAGCCCTGAGCACTGAGCCAGGAGTCAGCCCTGAGCACTGTTGAGTGAGGCCACAAAACAAGACCAACTGTGGAGGCAAAGCATCCGCCCAGATAAAAGGTTCTGTGTGTGGTCAGGTTTGGGGCCCCAAGCAGTGCGCAGTGACCGCTGCTCCGGGGGAGGGGGGGCACGGGCAGGCCTGGGGCAAAGCCTGCTCCAGCCACAGGCAGGCCCCAGGCCCCACACAGTCAGCGACTCGCCCAGGCAGGCCAGACCCCTAATGAACACCCTGAGCCCTAAGGCAGACGCAAGCGGCTACTTCATGGTTTAACACCATCCCACCGCCGGACCTGAACCCTGGGAAATGAGCGGGTTCTCATCACCGCTCCAAACAGACCCCCAAGCGGGTCCCCAGTCCTGGCACCAGCAGGACAGGCACCACCGTCACCCTTGTGCAGGGGGAGGCAGAACCCAGCACCATCCGGCCCCTAGCTGCAGCCCAGGGGCCGCTGACCAGAGGCTCAGGGCCTGCTGCCCGGGTCCGGCGGGCACTATCCCCCCACAGACACTGCTGGTTCTGGGGGGCAAGCGGGGGAGATGTGCGGCTCCTCTGGGGTCCTGGACCCAGGCCTGGCAGGCGCCCCACTCACCACCCAAGGCTCGGAACCCTGAGAGGGAGTAGAGGGCCAGGACAGCAGTCACGGCGCCTGCCTCGAAGTGGACAGGCAGCGCCCGGGGACCCAGCCCCTGCGCCCCGGGTGGGTCCCTGAGCACCGCTGGGTGTGGCCCAAACAACAACAGTGACAGTATTCCAGAGGCCTCTTCCTTGGCGGCAGATGCAGAGCTGACCCACTAAAGGCGAGCCAGGTCATGTGAGGTTGCGGGAGGGATTTCGAAACCTCCAAGAAGAGCAGAAATAATGAAAACCATCCTCCTGGGAAGGCGCGTCCACGCCAGGGAAGGTCTGAACAGATGGACAAGACCTGAAGCCAGAGCAGGGAGCGACCCCCCCACTGACCCCTGGAAACAGGCGCTGCTGGGTCAATCCCAGCACCATGCGGGGTCCTCCGTCCCCCATCCAGAGCCCACCAGGAACCATCCTTATGATGCTGAGCACGGCCAGCTCTGGTCCCCCAAGCCCCAAAATACCAGGCACCAAAACGATCCATTTGGGCCAAACGGTGGAGGTGGAACAGCGGTCTCCGGACACGCTGGGAGCCCCTCTGGAAGGCTGTCTGCGGGGCAGTGTGCGCTAGCCCCGGCCACACTGCTCCAAATGCAGGTTTAGAAAGGCAACGCACCAGCCGGCAGATTCCCTGGGACGGGGCTTGGTGGGAGCACAGCGGGGAGGGCACTTGCCTTGCACAGGGCACACCCGGTTTGATCCCTGGCACTAAGTTATGGTCCCCTGAGCACCGCCCAGAGTAGTTCCTGAGTGCAGAGTCAGGAGAAACCCCTGAGCATTACCAGGTGTGGGTGAACAAGCATAAGAACAGATTACAGAGGCAAGAGTTATAGGACAGTGGGAAAGACGTCATTTGCCTTGCATATGGCCAACCCGGGTTCGATCCCTAGTGTCCCATATGGTTCCCTGAACACCTCCAGGAGTTCCTGAGTGTAGAGGCAGGAGTAACCCCTGAGCATCACCGGGTGCAACCGAAAAGAAAAAATTAGGGAAGCGCTTAACCAAATCACATGGTATTGCCTCCTTAGCAAAGAATCTGTCTTGAATATTGAACTATGAAAATAAAGCTGATACAGCTGTCTGGGCCAGAGTGATAGAACAGTGGGAAGGGTGTTGGCCTTGCATACAGCTGACCTAGGTTCGATCCCCAGCATCCCACATGAATCCCCGATACCGCCAGGTGCAAGTCCTGAGTGCAGAGACAGGAGTAATCCCTGAGCATCACCAGGTGTGACCCAAAAAGCCCCCCCAAAATAAATTCAATATTTTATTTAACTCCATAGGACCAGGGTGCAGCTCAGCAACAGAAAACAAACCTTCCATGTGTGAAGTCCTGGGTTTCGTGCCAGGACTGCAACATACACAAACACACAAAAGGAAATGAGCAAACAGGGTGAGAGAGAGTCGAGGTAAGGTGCTGCAGGAACCCTTCAGCACGGAGTCGGCACTGGTTAAAGAACACGCTTCCCATGACACGGCTGAGCCACTGTGACCCCAGAGCACCCAAGCAACCCCCAGCACCACGTGGTCCCAAAGAACCACCTGGAGCCAGCACTTGAAACCAGACCCCACACATCCTGGCACCAACCTCGCTGGGCACAGCCCCGGGTCAGTCCCGAGGACCCCCAGACACCCCTCGTTTCCTCACTGGAAATGGCCCCGCACAAACAACCCTCCCCTCAAAGTGTTGCACTTCTGTCTGACGCTTACAGGGGATGCAGCGAGGGTGACCTGGGGTCAGGCCTGGCTGGCCGCACAACTGCACAGTCCTTACAAACTTTCTTCTTGTTTTGGGGTCACATCAGGCACTCAGGGCTCACTCTTGTCTGTGCTCCGGGGTCACCCTGGAGAACTAGGGGGACCACCCGAGGTGCCAGTGATGGATCAAACATAATCAGCCACGTGCAAGGTGAGCGCCCCCCCACCCGCTGGGCTACTGCTCCGGCCCAACTGGAGGCCCCCACTTTTTCTTGTTTGGGGCCACACCCAGCAGTGCTCAGGGCCATACAGGATGTGGGGATCACACCCACTTCGGCTAAGTGAGAGACCAGCACCCTCCCGCTGCACTATCACCCCGGCCCTTTTGGAGGGCTCCTTATCATGGAGAGACACCCCCACCTCTTCCGTGGGAGAGCGCAGGCGTGGAGCAGAGAGGGGGCAAAGCTGCTCCCCCTACCCAGGGGCTCCGGTGGAGAATGCTTCGAGTCAGTTCTCATCCAATTGTTAAGTCAAAAAACACCCCCAAGTCAAGCTTAACTCTTCTAAAACATAAAGGACTGTGATAGCCTGATTACGGCCAGAGAAATAACAGTGGGAAATGCACTTGCCTCACATGAAGCCGACCCGGTTCCATTACTGGTACCCTGAGCGCTGCCCAGTGGGCCCAAAAACCAACAAAAAGGACAAGCAGGTGAGTCCTTCAAATGGAGGAAGGAGCTCCAACGTTTAAATGGAACAAAACCAAACCCAAACCTAAGTGCCAGCGAGCAAAGTGTCTCTAGCCCACAGTCGCTGGCTGAGTGAACCTGGAACCTCCGGCTCAGACCCCGGCAAGACTGGGTCGGAACCATCCCCTCCGGACTCCGGCCGGCCTTAAGTCTAGGCACCTCGATCCAGCGGTTTCCTGCCCGGGCCACGCCCACGCCCCCCACGCACACGTGCACCTTCCTGCTCCCACACACACAGGTGCATCCTGGCCCGTGTGCACGCACACACACACACACACAGGTGCGCCCACAGTCCCGCGCACACACACGTACAGGTGCGCCCCCAGCCCCACGCGCACACACACAGGTGCACCCCAGCCCAGCACACACACACACACGTGCACCCCCAGCCCCGCGCGCAAACACACACGCAAACACACACATACACAGGTGCGCCCCCGGCCCCGCGCACACACACACACACAGAGGTGCGCCCGGAGCCCCGCGCACATACACACACACACACAGATGCACCCCGGCCCAGTACACATACACAGAGGTGCGCCCCCAGCCCCGCGCAAACACACATACAGGTGCATCCCCTGCCCCACTCATACACACACACACACAGGTGCTCCCCGGTCCCCGCACACACACACACGCTCACAAACACGCACATACACACACTGGTGCACCCCGGCCCAGCACACACATACACACACACATACACACACATACACACACATACACACACATACACACAGGTGCGCCCCGTCCCGCGCGCGCGCGCGGACGCGCACACACACACACACACACACACACACACACACGTGAGGCCGGGGCCGGTCGGGCCCCCACAAACGGCCTCGCAGCCGCGGCCACGTGCGGGCGGCGCGGGGTCGGGTCTCCGCGGCCCACCCGGCCGGTCGCGCGCGCTCTCGTCCGAGGGCCGGGCCCGGCCCGCGGCCTCCGTCGGCCCGCGGCGGCGCACACTGACCTTGGAGTCTCCGTTGCACAGCGCCATGGGCAGACGGGAGCCGCGGGCCGCCGCGACGCCGAGAGCAGCCGCGCGGGAGGAAGACTCGGCGCGCGCCGCGGCCCCGCCTCCCGCTTCCGCCCCGGCCGCCGCGGGGCGGGGCCAGCGCCGGCGGGACGGGCCGCCGCGCCTCCAGCCCCGCACTGCGCCGCCGCGGCCCCGCCCCGATCCGCCCCGCCCCCGGAGGGGAGCCCGCCCATTGGTCCGCCGCCTCGGGGGCGGGGCGTGACGCAGGATGCCCCGCCCCCAGGAGGCGGAACCTGCCTTCTGCGCCTGCCCGCCGCCGTGGGGCGGGGCGTGCACCGTCTGGTCCCGCCCCTTAGAAAAGAAACCCGCCTTCGGTGTCTAGCCGCCTCCGTGGGGCGGGGCCAGTGGCGCCTCGCCCCGCCCTCGTGAGGTAAACCGGCCCCTCGCCGACGGGGGGCGTGTCCTGGCACACCTCGCCCCGTCCCCGAAGGAGGCGCGGCCCCCAGCGGTAGGGGGCGTGGCCTGGCGCGCCTCGCCCCGCCCCCGCAGGAGGCGCGGCCCTTTGGCAGCGGGGGCGTGGCCTGGCCGGGCGCGGTGCCCAACCGCTGGGCTCGCCCCGCGCGGAGGCCGGCGCCGCCTCCGGCTGGCCGCCTGGGCCCGCCGCCTCGCCCACGTGGGGACCCCGGGGCGCACCCCCGGGGCCCGCGTTACCTTCCCCGGGAGCGGGAAGTGGACGCTCGGACTCTCGGAAGCCATGGCGACCGGGTCCCTGCGGCGCGCGTGCCGCGAATGCGGGCGGCTGAGCGCGCGGCCGGAAGCGGGGGCCGGGCGCGGGGGGAGAGGAGCGAGCGGGGCCGGGGCCCGGGGAGGAGCCGGGGTGGGGGTGCCGGGGTTGGCGCGTGTGCGGGCCGGGCCGTGCCCCCGAGCTTCGGGCGCGCACTCTGGATCGCGCCTGCGGTGCGGGACCCCGCGGTGCGGAGCGCGCCAGCCCCCAGCCCCACTGGGGCCGTGGCGGGGTCTCCCGGGCTCGCCGCCCTGTGCCTTTTTCTCGCGGGCTGTGAGTGGGTGGTCGGCTCGGTCCGGCCTCGCCCCGGACTTGCACAGGGCTCAGCCTGGCAGTGCCCGGTGACGACCGTGGCGCCCGGGATCAGGCCAGCCCGCCCGTGCCCGGCGAGCGATTAGCGCCTGTGCTCGCTCTCCCCAGCAGCGAGAGCTCAAAAACCTGCAGGGAATGCCTAGAGTTCTGTAGTGGCTGCCGTTGCTCTCGGGGTGAACCCCGACCACGGCTTGTTCGGGTCCGTGGACAAGTGATGGGTTTACCTAGCAGCAGCCTCCGTCCGTGTAGATCCCGCCGCGCCCCAGGCTGACCTGTAACCCGAGGCCCCTGGAACGGCACGCGTGCGTTCTCTCTGCACACTGACAGCTTCAGAAGCTCAGCCCACAGCTCTGGTCTCCGTTTGGATGCCTCCTCCTTCCTGTCGGGAGGCGGCTCGGGCACTTTTGGCTGATGAGCCTGAAAACAGGTGCCTTCCTGGGCCCTGGAGCAGTGCTCGGGACCACTCGCATGAAGATAGCAGGAGCTTTATGGTGCCAGGGCTGGAAGCAGCCAGGGCATACTCAGCACACATGGCGTCCTCGTAATCCACGACATACATGGCACCCTCGGTAGACACAGGGCATTCGGCGCACGCTCCTTAGCTCCTTAGTTCTCCAGGCTCTTCCTCTTGTGCTCCTGTATGTCTTTCCCCTTTTTGGAACTCACATGCCTCTGGTGGCATTTACCTGTCCACTCTGCTGTGTTCTTGGCATGCCTGGAAGCAAGGGCAGACAGTAGTGATGCGCAAACCAGATACTGGTTCTAAGTGACGACCTTCAGCAGGAGGAAACAGTCGCTGTGGAGCCTGCAAAGCTCTGGGACTGGAGCACGGTCTACTTGTGGGAGCCTCAGGATCAGTCTGGCACCGCCAGGAGTGGCCCCAGAGCAAAAAGTGGCAGGGAGGTGGAGAGCTCGCCCAATGGGCTAACTTGGCATGTTTCCTTGATAGGACTGGCTGCAATCCCTGAGCACCATCAGAAGCAATCTTGACCACTTCTGGGTATGACTCCGAAAGAGAACAAAAACGTTTAAGGAAAAAAAAGGAGCCAAGACTTCCTGAGACATGACTGGTTTCAGGACTGAAGGAGAACCATGGTGGGTAGTGTTGGATATTAACCTCAGTGTTTGAGGCTTCATCACGGAATTGCCCCTTTTCCTCCCCCAGAGAAGTTGCAATGCTCTTAGGAGCACTCCTAATCTCCAGAGTGTATCTGAAACCTTCCTTTGTGCTTCACCGCTCCTGATAGTACTAAATTCCCCAAGTCAGGCTTGGTTACATATAAAGTCAAACTTTCTTTTGCATTTGTAGTGAATTACTTGCTTTTCTCTTTCTCCTATAACCTTTTCATATTTTACTATGGAGCAACATTCTTTGCTTAGACACAGAAATTCCATTAATGCTATGCTCCTAATTGGGGGTTAATTCAACCTGAAATATATTTACTTCTGGGTATCCATGATCATCACTTGACTCAGGGTTCAGTTGCCATAGTTCCTAACACCCCAAAAAGCTGGGTCCACCAAGGGACTTGGATGAACCCAGGGCGAGCAGCAAGGCTACCCTGATTTCAGTAGGACACTCTCTAAAGCATAAAGCACTGTCTTGATACAAGCAGTAATGACCTTAAAGCCAGGACCCCTTGGGGGTAGGAAAAGCTAAATCAGCCCTGAGGACTTAGTCTGGGATTTAGGATAAAAGCCCAGCCAGCTTTTTTACTCACAGAGCCCAGAAAACTAAGTTCTGGAATCTGTATCTCTTACTATGTTTATCCAAATAACTGCAAATATTAATAAGAAGTAAACTTTTAATTGTTTAATATGTACTATTAGCAAGGAAGAGAAAAGCAATATAGGTTCCCCTGGGCGAATTTCTCAGTATAGCCCCTGAGACAGAGCGTCTCCGCGAATTAATCCCAAGAGAACAATCTCCGTCCAAGTACTTTACCTTTGTACATGACCAGTCACACCTATGTGCAGTCCTGTAATTCAGAACCCCTGTAATTCAGACTTGTATAGGCTGTTCAGCTCTGGGATTAAATGGGCCGTTGTGACCAGAGTTTTGTGGTCCCTATCTCTTCGTCTGTCCGTTGGGGAGGCCAGGGAGGTTCCCTGCCACTGAAGACATCATATACTTGAACTCACAGGTAGGAACAATGTTTGGACCCAGATATAAGGGACAGGCTGGAGGAGAGCACAGCTGACTGTGCTGGCCTAGCAGTGGCCAACCCCAAGCTGATCCCCAGTACTGATACGGTCTCTTGGGGACACTGCCAGGAGTAACCCTTGAGTACTGCCAGGTGTGGGCCAACCCCTCCAACCCCCAAAAGAAGGAATTACACAGAGCTCCATGGGAGCCAGTCAGAGGACACATGAGTCAGATTGGTTTTCTTTTTAGATTTTGGGGCCACACCCAGTGTCACGTAGGGGCTAATCCTAACTGTGCTGGGGTGAGCCTCAGCTGTACTTGAGGAACCCTATGCAGTGCCTCTTTTCAAAAGATTGGCTGCATGCAAAGCAAATGCACTGCCCCGGACCCCAGAAAGCAGACTGAAAGGACTTTTTAACTGGGTAAATCCAAGGACAGTCTATTGAAAACAACGATGGCAAAGCAATTAGGAATCCACCCGTCTATGAAGACACATGAATGATTATGTGGCAGGAAAAACAGTCCTAGCAGAACAGCATCTGATAGGACAGAACCCGTGAATTAGAAAACCCTGCACTGGCAGCCATGTCACGGTGAGTTCAGGCAAGAAACGAGCAAATACGGAGATGAATGTTAGAGCTGAGTCACGGACAGGTTTTGCTTACGCTCAGTAGCTCCCATTAGTGACCAGTTGAGGGAGAGAGCGTTTCTAATTGATGGGAGCTGGCAGTCGCTGTGATTCATTCAGCAAACAGCCCCGGGCTCCCTGCTGAGGCATGTGCCCTTGGAGCCATTTCCTCAGTTCCATAGACGTCCCATCTTCTGGCTTTGTTTTATTCTGTTGGCAGTGCTGGGACTTCAGTCTGGATCTCACACAGGCAGGGCAAACACTCTTCCACTGAGCCACATCCCTGGACCTTCTGAGAAAGCAGACACTCCAACACCCCACTGGGAAATTAGGTGACATTAAGAGGATGTGCTGCCTGAACTCTTTTGAGCGGGGCCAGGAAATCGTCCAGTTAGAGCTCATGCCTATCTTGTCTCTGACCCAAGTTCCATACCATGAGTATCACTGGGTGCAGTCCTGGGGACCCCCAAACGCTGCTGGGGTGCCCAGGGATCCCCAGCCCCACAGCGCCTGAGCAGCGCTGCATCCTCGGACCCTTACTATTCACCCACTGACCTGGTTGAGAATCGCTTGAAGGGACCCTGGACCTTCTGAGCATGACTTGGGTCCACCCCAGCCATAGGCAGGGGACACAGGGAGTGGGACTAGGGGCAGAAGGTGGCTTCCAAAGCATAGGTGGGAGTCACAGGGCCGAAGGCATTTGCCCTGCATACTGATGGCCCTGTTTCAATCCCCAGCGCTAGATATGGTTCCCTGAGCATCACAGGCAGTGATCCTTAAGCACAGAGCCAGGAGTGAGCCCTGAGCACAGCCAAGTGTAGCCCCCAAACAAGACAAAAATAAAACAAGCAACCAGTGCAAGTGCATGAGGAGACAGGGTACACTGGGCTGAAGCGTAACTGTGTGTGCGGGAGGCCTGAGTTTGAACTTGAAATTGCCTAGTGTCTCAAGCCAAGACCTGGGCTAGCCCTGGTCACTGCCAGGTGTCCTTCTGCTCCCCCAAAGACAAAACCACACTGAAAGGGCTGGAGCAATAGCATAGCGGGTAGGGCGTTTGTCTTGCACGTGTCCGACCTGGGTTCGATTCCCAGCATCCCATATGGTCCCCCAAGCACCGCCAGGAGTAATTCCTGAGTGCAGAGCCAGGAGTAACCCCTGAGCGTTGCTGGGTGTGATCCAAAAAGCAAAATCAACAACAACAACAACAACAAAAAAAAAACACTGCAACGTTTGGGAGCAATTTCCATATTTTGATTGTAGTGGTTACACAACTATTGGTCAAAACTGATTTTCAGTTGTTAAAGAGATTATACAGGGGCTGGAGCACATTCTCATTCTCTCCATTCAGGGGAATGCTCTGCCACAGAGGTAGGGTGGGATGGGGGAAAGGGAGGTGGAAGGGATACTGGGACTGGTGGTGGTGGAGAATGGGCACTGGTGGAGGGATGGGTATTCCATCATTGTATAACTGAAACCCAAGCACAAAAATTTGTAAGTCTACAACGGTACCTCATGGTGTTTCACTAATAAAAATTTAAGGAAAAAAAAAAACCTCCTTTTGCCCGGGTTGGGGACACCCCTGCGGCGCCCGGGGCTGCAGGGGGCGCCCCCAGTCACTGAGCCCGGGGACATCGGCCCAGCTGCGGGGGCCCTAGGCTGCCCGTCACCGGGGTGACTTCCCGCCGCTGCGAGGGCGCCTGCAGCGCGGGCAGCACCCGAGTCCCGGGGGCACGTCACAGCCAGGTTTCCCAGACTGGCTTTCCCACTTCCCGATCAAACGCGGAAAGCGCTGCGGAAGACGCCGGCTCCCGCCGAAGCTGGCGGCCCGGCGCTGCCCGGGCTCTGTACCTCGCGCGGGGCACGCGACAGCGCCGGCCAATCAGCGCGGCCCCGCCTCTCGCCCGCCAGCCCCCGCGGGGCACGTGACGGTGCCGGCCAATCAGCGCGGCCCACGCCGCGCAGCCGGCCGGCCCCCCGCGGGGCAGTGACGGCGCCGGCCAATCAGCGCGGCCCACGCCTCGACACCGGCCGCCGGCGCTCGCAGAGCCCCGGCCCCGCGCGCGCGCGCTCGCCTCGGGGCTCCGGCCGCGCCCCGCTCCCGCGGCCCGCGGGTTCCGGGCGGCGCCGCGGCCCGGGGGCGCCCGCGGGCGGGACCGCGCGGCCAGGCGCGGGCGCGGCGCGGGCCGGACGCGTTAGGCGCGCGGACCGCTTCCGGCGGCCGTGCGGAAGCGCGCCGGGCTCTCGCGGCGCCGCCAGCCGCGCCTCGTTCGCCGCCGCCACGGCCCGTCCGCCCGGCCCCGAGCCCGGCGCGGCCGCCCGCGGGGCCCCCGCCGGCCTCCCGCCGCCCCGGAGCTGGGGTCCGGCCGCTCCAAGACGCTGAGCCCCGGAGCCGCGCCGGCCGGGCTGTGCCTCGCGTCCGGCATGCCCCCCGCCGCGCCCGGCCCCGAGCGCAGCCGGCAGCGGCGGCCCGGCCCGGCCGGTCCCGGGCCCGAGCCGCCCGCCTGGGCGCCGGGCGAAGCGGCGCGCGCGGGCGGCTGCCGCGCCGAGCTGGGCAGCGTGCTGCTGCTGCTGGCGCTGTACGTGCTGCAGGGCATCCCGCTGGGGCTGGCGGGCAGCGTGCCGCTCATCCTGCAGGGCCGCGGCGTCAGCTACACCGACCAGGCCTTCTTCAGCCTGGTCTTCTGGCCCTTCAGCCTCAAGCTGCTCTGGGCGCCGCTCGTGGACGCCGTGTACGTGCGCGGCTTCGGCCGCCGCAAGTCGTGGCTCGTGCCCACGCAGTACGTGCTGGGGCTCTTCATGCTCTACCTGTCCACGCAGGTGGACCGGCTGCTGGGCGCGGGCGGCGGCGCGCCCGACGTGACGGCGCTCACCGTCACCTTCTTCCTCTTCGAGTTCCTGGCCGCCACGCAGGACATCGCCGTGGACGGCTGGGCCCTGACCATGCTGTCGCGCGAGAACGTGGGCTACGCGTCCACCTGCAACTCGGTGGGCCAGACGGCCGGCTACTTCCTGGGCAACGTGCTCTTCCTGGCGCTCGAGTCGCCCGACTTCTGCAACAAGTACCTGCGCTTCCAGCCGCAGCCCCGGGGCCTCGTCACCCTCGCAGGTAGCCCGCCCGCCCGGGGCCGCCCGCGGCGCCAGGGGGGCAGGGGCGGTCGGAGGGGACAGGCAGCTGCTCTTGGCTCCCGAGGTCCAGGTGACCCCGGCCAGCAGGCCAGGTTACAGATGGCAGCCGGGATGCCACACAAGGGCGTTTTGCCTCGAGGATCCCGAGGTGTTGCTCCAGGCGAAGGTGGGCGAGTGGACAGAGCCGGAAGCTTGCAGGCTCACCCCCTTCCCAGCCCTCTGGCCCCTTTAAGCCGGGAGGAGCCCGGAGCCTCACCCCGCAAGCAGAGTGTCCCCAAGGTGCCCTTCGTGCTCCCTGCTTCTGGGTGGGGGCAGCCTCTCCCTCCGAGGAGTCGGGAGGATCGGCCAGCGTTTCAGAGAGTTGGGGAGGCAGGATCAGTTGACCTTGTTGGATGAGATCGGGAGAAGGTGGGTGCAGTTCCCGAATGCAAGAACATCAGGTTCAAAGCGCGCGCACCCAGGCCACGGGGTACAGGAGGGCTCAGACCCACACGGCGGGGGGGGGGGGGGGGCTGAGCCTGTCCTGCAGCCAGGACAGGTCAGAACAGATCGGAACCTGCTGACACCCCAGGCCTCTGCCGAATGGGCCAGTTTTCTCACGGGGCACGCAGCCCCTCCTGGGTCCCCAAGCTGCTGCTCCTCGCTGCCTTTCCCACTTCCTCCATGGTCCCGGCGAGGAGTCTGGAGGATGAACCCAACCAGCCACCGTTTCCCAGAAAGAAGGGGAAGTCATGTCCCTCCCTGGGGAGCCCCAGCAGTCAAGGGGCAGTAGAAGATCAGGTGCAGGGGCACTTTGTTGCACGACTATTTTTTTTTTCCCCAGAATGGCGACAGGATTCTCCTAAAATCCCCGCCATGCTGCTTCTCTGGTCTCTGAAGTACTGGGGGTAGAATCACCTGCCCCTCATGCCCACCCTGTGCCCCGTGGGGACCCCTGTCCTCCACTGCAGGCACTCTTGGCTCCTGAGGTCCAGGTGCCCCCAGCCAACAGGCCAGGCTACAAATGGCAGCCGGGATGCGACACAAGGGCATTTTGTCTCGAGGATCCTGAGGTGTTGCTCCAGGCGCCGCTTTGCTGACATCACACACCTTGTCTGAGGTTGGGTTTTTCTGGCTGTCAAACTAGAAGCGCCAAGGAGAGATCAGGTCTGGCTTCCCCCCCGGGAAGGAAGCTTCAGTGCGAACACAGTGAAGTGGCAGTGGAACCGGTTCCTGCCGTGTAAGCTGGATCTTTCTCTTTCTTGGCTCTTTGGATCACACCCATCGATGCTAAGGGTTACTCCTCGCTCAGCGCTCAGGAATTACTCCTGGTGATCAGGGGACCAGAAGGGATGCCGGGGACCGAACCTGGGTTGGCTGCATGCAAGGCAAATGCCCTCCCTGCAGTGCCGTCGCTCCGGCCGCTGGATCTGCCTCTTTAACACACCCTGCCAGAGAATGCCCCGAGCACTGGCAGCCAGTCCTCCTGGTGCCAGAATCGAGTGGGAAAGTCAGAGCTGGTGCCTTTGGATATTCACTTTCACAGTCTGTTATGGATGATAGTTCTGTGGACTTTGTTCTTTGGGGAGTTGTAAAAATAGCTTACTTTTTAATTTAACCTTTGTGTCTGTAGAGGACTGCTGGTTTTTCTCATACATCAAACATTTAATAAGTGTTGGAAATCTGTTTCTCTTTCCATGACAGCACATGTCATGTGTGATCATTGGGCAGGGGTTCGGTCCACACCCGAAACTACTCAGGTCTTACTCCTGGCTCTATGCTCAAGGGAGAGCCAAATGCAGAGACCAAATATGGTGCTGGGGAATTGAACTGGGGTCAGCCATGGGCGGGACAAATGCCTTATCCCCGCTCTGTCTCTCCGACCCCCATATGCATAGACTTTTAAACGGTTTGGGGCCATACTGGGTGGTGTTCAGGGCTTACTCCTGGCTCTGTGCTCAGGGATCACTCCCGGTAGGCCTTGGGGGACCATGTGGGGTGGTCGTGATCCTGCCCGGGTTGGCCCCATGCAGGCAAGCCCCTACCCACTTGACAATCTCTTTGGCCCCAAGTTTCGGTTTTGAGTGGCTGGGGGAGCTGTGTGGTGCTGGGGAGCACACACGGACCAGAGCGAAAAGGAGGTCAGGCGCTTGCCTTGTATCCCACAGATCTGCTTCCACTCTCCAGCGTTGTAGGTTACTGAGCAGCACTGGATGTGCCCCCCCCCCCCCCGCAAGAGAAAAAATAATCCCCCAAAAGGGGCCCGCTCCAGCCCTCCGTGCACACCAACTATTCGCTTTGGGTTTTGGTCATAGCCGGCAGTACTCGGGTTAATCCCAGCTCTCTGCTTGGGGGTCCCTCCTGGTGGTGCTTGGGGGACCCTATGGTGCGGTGTGGGATGAAGCGAGGAGGGGGGCATGTCAGCAACATGCAAGGCCGGTACTCCCCCCGATCCATGTCTCTGACCCTGTTTGTTTCTCAGTGGCCCTGTAGCCTTGGTGACTTGGCAGTGAGCACTCCGATGCCGGCCAGCCGGACTTGCCGCCCCTGTTGGATGAGTGACCCCCCCCCCATCTGTTTCTGAGGAATTTCCTCTTGGGGTGGGGGTGGGCATACCTAGTGGTGCCAAGGCTTACTCGTGGCTGTGCTCCAGGATCACCTCGGGGTGGCTCAGGCGACCCTTTGCAGTGCCAGGGATTGAGCTGGGTTTGGCACCGTGCAGGGCAAGCATGTCATCCCCTGTCCTTTCTCTTCATCTTTGCTGTCTTGCTCCCAGGGACTAGACTATAAAGAAGCTGCAGACCAGGGCTGGAGGGATAGCACAGCGGGTAAGGCGTTTGCCTTGCACGTGGCTGACCCGGGTTTGATTCCTAGCATCCCATATGGTCCCCTGAGCACCGCCAGGGGTCATTCCTGACCCCTCTGCATTGCCGGGTGTGACCCAAAAAGCAAAAAAAAAAAAAGAAGAAGCCGCAGACAAAAGGTGGAGGCAGTAGGTGGGCCATTGGATGGGGGAGGTGGGGGGCTGGTACGTGACCTTCAGGGCCTGTGGTCAGAGCTGACCCCAGCTCCAGCATTGGAGTCCTGCTGGCACAGCTCCCAAACCACCTGGACTGACAGACACTTCCCGGTGAGAAAGACGATTGGCATTCACTGGTGGCCAGGTTTGGACCATAGTTGTCAGCTATGGAATCTGGACAAATTACTGACCGGCAGGAGGGATGGAATCGAAATCAATAGCTTTGTTTCTGCTTACAGCAATCTTCCCCAGCAAACCGTTGATCTAGCCTTCGTCTCTCACTTGCCACCTGCCCACATCCTGCACGGATTCCATTCAGTCCCCCTGTATAATCACTGTTGGGCCCGAGTTGAGTTGTCTCCAGTGCCATCAGCCTGTAGTTCGCATCTGCCTGGCAGTCAGAGACTGCAGCAGAATCAGCTCCACGTGACCCTGCCAGCTGGGATCACTCCAGGATGTGGCCGCCAGCAGAAGGAATTAGATATTAAACTGGAACCCAGGTCTGATGGGAGGGCCTTGAAGGCTTTCACTTTTTTTTTTTTTGACAGCAAAGCAAAGGAGATGTATTATTTTCTTTCGGCAAAAATCTGTGTGGGGCTGGAGAGATAGCACAGCAGGCAGGGCGTTTGCCTTGCTCCGGCTGACCCAGGTTCGATTCCCAGCATCCCATATGGTCCCCTGAGCATCACTAAGAGTAACTCCAGAGTGCAGAGCCAGAAGTAACCCCTGGGCATCGCCGAGTGTGACCCCAAAAAGAAAAAAAAAGCATTGTATGTGTCTGAAAAGTTGATAAGAGACTGTAAGCTAAAATCATTCTACTTGGCATTCATCTTTATCTGAATTTGAAGGTTTTACTGAACTTTATATGTGAATCGGTCAGTGGAGGAGTAAGTGTTCCTGAGAACACACAGGATTTGAGAAATCAGACACACCTATCTAATCTAAGGGAATCTCTTACTCAGGAGAAAAATTGGCTTTCCCCCTGTGGTGCCGTCTCCTCCAGGTGAGGCTTGAATTTTACCAGAGTTCCATCTCTGGGCCCCAAAATGAGGAATTTTAAGTTCACTCTAATTTGACCTCTTCCTTTTCCTGGGGAGAGGGCATTCCTGGCTGCACTCATACACAATGATTTCAGTGTGGATATGCCCACAAAAATGTTTTTAAGGAAATGGCCCACTGAATGTTTTTGAACTCTGGTGATAACCTTGCCTCTGCTGAGGGATCACTCCTGTCGGGCTGGGGGCTATATAGCTGCCAGGGACGGAGCCTCTGGCACCCATCCACCAGCTGGCTTTCTTTGTCCAGTCATCTAAAGAATTCTTTCTCCCTTTGTTTTTAAGCACATACCTTACGGATTTCCAGTGATTGCCAACTAAGACCTCAGAACAAGTTTCAAGCAACCCAGACTGTTCTGGGCTTGTGTTCCATCTGTTTGAGATGGACGCTTCTTACTCCAACAGTTGCAGCTTTTACGTTTTTGTTTCTTGTGTTTTGGGGCCACTCCCTGTGATGCTCAGGGCTGACTGGGATCACTCCTGGTGGGGCCTGGGGGACCCTTTGGAGTGCCAGGAGTTAAGCCCATTTCGGACACATGCAAGCCAGGTGCCCTCACTGCTGTTCACATTTTGCAATTTCTCACCAATTTTATTTCTGGGGGACTTCAGGGGCCATCTTGTTTGGTCTGACTGGAAGCTCCCTGGAACCGATGGCCCCCGGATAGTGGCTGCCAGTCACGTCTTACTCCCAACAGTCTTGCAGCTTGCAGTGGTCAGAGTCACTGGGGCTTCTTATCCTGTGAACCAGTCTCTGCGGTGCATCACCCCTCTCCCCTCATCCTTGCTGTGCCATTTATGCAGTCAAGGACACAGCTCTGGGAGCAAAGAAACCCGCGGTGCTTGCAGTTCTCTCTCACTCCTGTTCCTGGAAGCAAGGGGCTTTCATTCTGCAGGAGGGTTTGAGGTTGGGAGGGTCTATGAAGCAAACACCCAGCCCCTGCTACGCATTCTCCTGTTTTTGCTTCGAAACTGGAACTCTGGGGACACAGTAGAAGGGTTAAAGTACTTGCCTGGCATGTGGCCGACCTGAGCAGGGGGCGGGGCGGGGGGAGGGGGAGATGGGGCCCAGTTAAATACAGCCAAACTGGAGCACAAATGTTTACATGTTCTGTGCATCATTGAAAAATTTGTAATTTTCACTGAACATAAAGGCCATTACTTGAGATTTCAGTGACGGTGCCCCAGCCACCACTCTTCATTTGAAAACTGCTTGTTTTTAAGCAAGTCAACACAATCGTTCTCCATGAGATGAACAGATTGCCTGTGAGGTGATTTTCGGCCACTTGTTCGCAGATGGAATTTGAGTGCAGAGGTCGGGGAACCAGAGCCGTAGTCCGGTGGGAAGGCGCTTGCTTTGGTGTGGGCCGCCCGGCTTCCATCCCCAGCACCACACGTGGTCCTGAGCCCTGCCGGCCGTGGCCCAGAAACCAACGACAAAGAGAAAATCGAAATGATGTGTGAAGGGGTGAGAGAGAGCGCTGTGAGCTGAGCACATCTTTGTCCGTGCGAGGCCTGGGTTCAGCTCGGGTCCCCGATGTTGTGGGCTGTGGGCCCATTCCACCCCTCAAAGAAGAATAAACCTGAACAGAAATCACGTTATTGTGATGAGGCTTAGCCAAGACGCTTTTAAGAAACTATTACAGCACTTAAACTTTCATCTTTCGATTGCTGGGTCTGAGTGATAGTCCAGCAGGGAAGGCATTTGCCTTGTACATGATGGCCCTGTGTTCAATCCCCAGCATCCCATATGGGTCCCCCAAGCACTGCCAGGGGTAATCTCTGAGTGCAGAGCCACGAGTAGCTCCTGAGCTTTGCCGGGTGTGACCCAAAACACAACAAATAAAAAAGACTGATTGGTGGAGTTGGAGCAATAGCAAAGCAGGTCAGGCATTTGCCTTACACAAAGGCTGACTCAGGTTCAACCCCGGCACCACATGTGGTCCCCCCAGACCCCATCAGGAGTGATCCCTGATGCAGTGCCAGGAGTAAGCCAGAGCACCACTGGGGGTGCTCCACAAACAGAATCAGGATGTTTTTGCTGATGTCTCAATTTACAAATCACAAAGTTCCCATGGTGGAGAAGAGAATTCTTCCAGAATACACATGGCCATATCCGTATGAAGTGTTCCATTTACTGAATCGACAAGATTTGAATAGCAGCTTTGTTTGGGGCTGAGCTTGTGAAGACTTGGTAGACACTGGGTTTTGCGTGACGCTTCCCAGGAGGCTGGGCCAGGTGGTTCTGTCTAGAAGCCTGTGCGGTGTGTCCTGTGCGCTCTTGACCTGGCTGTGGGGGCCTGGGGACCTGGCCCAGTGTCCTTCCCAGTGCGCCAGGCCCTGTCCCCTGCAGCTTGATGTGCTTCTGGGGCTCGAGCTTGAGTGTCCAAGTGCATGTCTGGGCCCCACTTGGCCAGGGACACGGAGTAACCTGACGGCTACTTGACTGGAGCACTGGGTGCGTGAGACACAACCCGCATCTGTGACACAGGAACCTCTGAGCACTCTTCCTTCTGGGCCTGGGCTGCCGTTCATCCCAACGTGCTCAGTTCTCTTGTGTCCTCACTTGAAGGCAAAGGCAGTAACCTCTAAAAGTAGGAGGAAGCTTCAGGGCTGGAGAGGACAGCAGGAGGGTGCTTGCCCTGCGTGCGGCCAACCTGGGTTTGGCAGCTTGATGGTGCAGTGGTCCCTGAGTGCAGAGGGAGGAGCAGCCCTGAGCATGCCCGGGGTGGCCCCGAACCCAAGCATGAGGAAGCTTTGGGGGCTGGCATGTCTAACTCAGAGGCTCCCAGATTTCCCTGACCCGTGTCCCCCTGGGATTGCCTTCTCCGAGTGGACACAAAGTGGCCCGCTCCGTGCTGGTTTCCCCCAGGTGCTGCCTCCACTGTGGGAAATGGTCCAAGTCGGCAGAACTTAGTCTAGAAAGGGAGTGTTTGGGGGCTGCCAGGGACTCTGCCTCTCCCCACCCCTCCCTCGGTGCCCTTCCACGGGTGGACACGGCTATGGTGTGACCAGGCTCTGGGCATCTAGACCTGGACAGGGCTGTGTGGTTTTCAGCTCTCCATAAGCTGAGGCTTTGTCTCCAAGGATGCAAGGAGAGACGAGCAGCCACGTCCTCAAAGACAGACAGATGGCCAAACGTGTCCGAACAAACGCGGCACTGCCTAGCAACAGATGTGGGGAGAAAGGACCGTCATCCACCGCTGGGAGAATGTCCACTGGTTCAGATTTTTTGGAAAACAATATGGACATTCCTCAGGGGGAAAAAAAAAAACCAGGAATAGCCCAGCAATAATTCCATTTCTTGACATCTACCCCAAGAGCCAAAAAAAATTATTCAGAGGCTGGAGCAATAGTACAGCGGGTAGGGCCTTACACATGGCCAACCTGGGTTCAATCCCCATCATCCCATGTCGCTGAGCATCATTGAGTGTCACTCAGCCTTTTTTCTTAAAAAAAAATCTTGGGGCTGGAACGATAGCACAGCAGCTAGGGCGTTTGCCTTGCACGCAGCTGACCCAGGTTTAAGCTCCAGCATCCCTGTATGGTCCCCCGAGCACCGCCGGGAGTAATTTCTGAGTGCAGAGCCAAGAGTAGCCCCTGTGTATCACCGGGTGTGACCCAAAAAGAAAAAAAAATGTAGAAAAAACATTTGTATTCCCAGGGCTGGAGCGATAGGATAGTAGTTAGGGTTTCTGTCTGTTTTGCACTTGGCCGAACCAGGTTCAATGCCCATCATCCTGTATGGTCCCCCAAGCAGCACCAGGAGTAATTCTTGGGTGCAGAGGCAGGAGCATCACTGGGTATGACCCAGAAAGCAAAAATTTTTTAAAAAGGGGAAGAAGAAATGTCCAGGAGCAAGAGGAAAGGAGATTTGCTTTCCAGTAGGAAGCTTCCCTCAGGTCAGTGGTGTGAGGGAGTGGGGCTCCTTGGAAGACTGGCGCTGGATGGGTCGGACCTGACGGGGAAACCCTCCCACTCAGCATTGTAAACGGTGCCTAAGAGGGAGTAAAGTAAAACACTTTCAGCTCGAGGAAAAGTTGTTGACAGAAGTAGCACCAGTGAAGGTATGTCATTTCAAAACTTAATCACAGATTTAAAACCTTTTTGTTTTCAGATTTCCTTTTCTTCTGGGGAACTGTGTTTTTAATAACAACAACACTAGTTGCCCTTCTGAAGAAAGAGAACAAAGAAGTATTAGTAGGAAAAGAAGAGACACAGGGCATCACAGACACTTACAAGCTGCTCTTTGCAATCATAAAAATGCCAGCAGTTCTGACGTTTTGTCTTCTGATTCTGACTGCGAAGGTAAGAGATTTATGGCACACGTCACTCTTGTGCGTGAGCCACATCTTGGGGTTTACTCGTGGCTCTGTGCTCAGGGATCACTCTTGGCAGGGCTTGGGGACAGTCTAGGATGGCTGGGATGGAACCCAGGTTGTTCGCATGGAAGCCAGGAGCCTGTGCTCGCACTCTGGCCCCTTCTTATTCGGTTATTGTGTGCTGGGAATGGAACCCGGGCCTCACAGTCCAGGCATGTTTCCTCGGCCACCCTCCTTGCTGGAAGTCTTTTATTGAGGGCTGAAGTGGTTCGGCCACACCGGCGTGCTCAGGGTCACTCCTGGTGCAGGGCTTGGGACCAGAAGTGGTGCCAGGGATCTAGCCTGGGGTCCGCCTCATACCAGGCCAGCGTCTGAGCATCTGGTTTCCTGGGGGGGTGTTGCAGATTGGCTTCTCCGCTGCAGACGCAGTGACAGGCCTGAAGCTCGTGGAGGAGGGCGTCCCCAAAGAGCACTTGGCCCTGCTGGCCGTCCCCATGGTCCCTCTGCAGATCATCCTGCCCCTGATCATCAGCAAGTACACGGCCGGCCCCCAGCCCCTGAACATCTTCTACAAAGCCATGCCCTACAGGTATGGTCCCACTCTCACACCACCTCTGGACCCCCGGCTGCCCGCACCCCTCTTTGGCCTGACCCGCCCCTGCCCTTTCTCCTGCAGGTTGCTGCTTGGATTGGAGTACGCTCTGCTGGTATGGTGGACCCCAAAAGTAGCACATCAAGGGGGCTTCCCTGTCTATTACTATGTCGTCGTGGTGCTGAGCTACGCCTTGCACCAGGTGAGTGGCTGTGTCCCAGGGCATCAGCTTTTGGGTGTGAAATGGAGACGTTTCTGGATGAGCCCAGGCCCGCTGGGCCAGAGTTGCAGACTAAGTCCATCTGCCCGGCACTGTGGTCTCCTGAGCACACTACCACCACAGACAGTCCCCAAGCCCAAGAAAGGGATTTTCTGCTTTAGTTGGGACTAGAGAGCTGGTGCAGTGGGTACGGTGCTGCCTTGCATGCTGCTGACCCAGGGTCAATCTTGGGCACCTCATCTGGTCCCAAGTCCTGCCAAGAGGGATCCCAGAGCACAGAGCCACGGATAAACTCTGAGTACTGCCAGGTATGGGCCACAGAGTAATTCACTTTGTGTGTGTTATATTGGGCGGGGGGGGGGGGGTCACACCCAGTGATGCCCAGGGGATTCTCCTGGTGTTGCTCTGGGAGCCACGTGGGATGCCAGGGATTGAACCCGGGCTGGCTGCTGTCCTTTCCCTGGCCCCTCCTCCTCCTCTGTCACTCCCATCTTCCCAGCACAGTGGGGCCATGTCTGAGCACCTGGTGGCGGCCAGTGAAGAGGGTCTGTCCCTCCCGCAGGTCACGCTCTACAGCATGTACGTGTCCATCATGGCGTTCAACGCCAAAGTCAGTGACCCGCTCATCGGAGGCACGTACATGACTCTCCTCAACACCGTATCCAACCTGGGAGGGAACTGGCCATCCACGGTCGCTCTGTGGCTGGTGGACCCCCTCACGGTGAAGGAGTGTGCGGGCGCCTCCACCCAGAACTGCCGGACGCCAGAGGCGGCAGAGGTGAGCAGGAGTGTCGGGTGCCCTGGCCACCTTCAGCTTCTGGTGGCCTGAAGTGTGACCCCTGGCTTTAGTGCAGGGATGTTCCCATCTGTGGTGTGATCCTGCAAGTCACCCTGGGATTCTCGAGGAAGCAGTTCATGAGTGACTCGCTTGGGCTCCTGTGCTGCTGCAGTCCGCGCCTCGGGCTGCTCTAACGCTGACGTAGCGGGAGGGTTGGGGCGTGCAGGCGTCCTGTGGCGCAGGAGGGAGCGAAGCTTCGTCCTGGCCTCGTGTAAAATGGTGGGTGTTTCCTTCAGTCTCAGGGGTGGGGAGATGTTAACTGTTGAGCGCTTCCATTCTGAACTTGCTGACTCTTTTTTATGCTTCTGTGTTTTACAGTTTTGCAAGAAGCTTGGTGGTACTTGTGTGACGGCCCTGGATGGCTACTATGTGGAGTCCATTATTTGTGTTTTGATTGGATTTGCTTGGTGGTTCTTTTTGGGGCCCAAATTTAAAAGGTTACAGGATGAGGGACCATCTTCATGGAAGTGCAGAAGGAGCAATTAATTCTCTCACTACTGGACATTCTAGAAAGGTAACTGTAGTTTCATTTTAATTCAGAGAGCTACGATAATCAGCACATAGGCGCATAAAACACTCAAGCAAGGAAATGATTTCTACGAAATGCCCAGTGGTTGCAATAGACCCTCTGCATCCCCGCCACCACATCCTGGTCCCTGTACTCTGAGCTCACGAGGGCCGGACAGCTGCTTCCTGGCCTGGCATTCCAGTGTGGTCTTGCACCTCCCAGCAGCTGGCCTGGCCTTCCATCTCTCGGGGACTCGCATCTCCAGACAACAGCATGTCCTGAGATGCAGGGCGGTGCTGCGTGGTGGGTTTTAGTGGGCTCTGAGACCAGGGAGGTTGCTGCAGCTGCCTGCGTCCGCTGGTCAGAGCTGGATGTCCACGGAGCAGCGGCGTGGTCCGCCTGGCCTGTGGTTTGTTCTTTCAAGTTGCAAAGTGGCTCTAGTCCATATGGAATTTGTGGGGAAGAGGCTGGAAACCACTGGGATGCCATTCTGGGTGTTATTTTTCTGACATGGCCACATTGCCCTTTTGAATCTGTGTTAAAATACTATTTTCAATGTATTCCTGCTTTTTTTAAGCATTGAAGATTTATAAGAAGATAATTTAAACTATTTTTTATAAAATGAAGCTATGATTTTAAGTTAAATATTGAGGCCCTGCCCCCTGCGTCTCCGAGGTTGTCGTGAGTCCTTGTGAGTCCTTGGTAATGTGCTTCCCCGCGGCCCACTTGTATTCCAGGTGTGCCAGGCACACCCTCATGACCAGGCCGGGGGAAATAAAGACTTGTTTTCTTCATGTACTGTTTCTTTTTATATTCCTGAGATGAAACCACCTCAGCGCTTCCCAGTCTCAGGTGCAGCGATTCAAGTGCAAACTACTTTGATTTGAAAACCAGCGCTTTTACAGAGAAGGCCGTGCCTTTAGGGGGTGCCGGGTGTGGTGGGTGTTTCCTGGTGTAGCACTTTACGGGTGAGAAAGGCCTTGCTGCTCCTCTGTGCCAAGTTCCCTCTCCCAGGACAGCTGTGGACCAGCTGCCCTCTGGGGAGCGCCGTGCAGGGCACCTCAGCACATCCGCAAACCTGCTGACGGGACTGCGAATTCTGTGTGCCCGCCGCCTCCAACGTTGCTGTAAACCCTCCAGAATTGGGGAAGAGATTGTCTTCCCTAAGGCCGACTGGACGACACGAGTTGTGCCTCAGAGCATCTCCCTGGGGGACGCTGCTACTCTGACCTAGGTTGGAGGAAAGGGGGCGCTGCCCTGTAGCCGCAGGACCCCAGCAAGAGTGGCCGCTGTCATGGGAGTCAGGATGTTGACTTGAATAAAGAGAAAACTCACTTTGTGCTTGTGTGAACTGGATTTTTATCTTATTATTTTTTTGTGCTTTTTGGGTCACACCTGGTGATGCACAGGAATTACTCCTGGCAGTGCTCAGGAGGCCATATGGGATGCTGGGGATCGAACCCGGGTTGGCCGCGTGTAAGGCAAACGCCCTACCCGCTGTACAAGGGATTTATTTTTTTTTTTAATTTTTGAATGAAGAAACTCGGATTGGGGCCAGAGTGGTATTATAGCGGGGAGGGCGTTTGCCTTGCACACAGCCAACCCGGGTTTGATCCCTGGCATTTCATAGGTTCCCGGAGCACCTCCAGGAGTAATTGCCGAGTGCAGAGCCAGGATTTTTTTTAATTGGGGTTACCGAGCACCACCAGGTGTGGCTCCAAACCAAGGAACAGTTGAAGCCTGCCCAGCAGAATGTGCGCAGATGCCCTAGCCCTGCAGACATTTATCCTGACTGGGTCGCTTGTGGCAAGCCCAGGGTGCCGCCCTGTGTGTCGTATGCCAGGAGCAGCACAGCCCCTGCGCTCGGGGTCCTGCACGGAGCAGCCCGGGGCCTCCCAGCGGCCTTCCCTGCACCCCATGCCTCCTGAGCACAGCGAGGCCGGGTGGCCCCCAGGGCCGGGGCCCGGGCGCGCGCTGACCGGTGCTGCCCGCAGCCACCCTCCCCAGAAGCCCGGGGGTGGGGGGCGTCGGACCAAGTCTCCTCGTCAGTCACCCAGGTGGTGCTGGGGGGCCGGTGCCAGCGACCGAGCGCGGGGCAGGTGCTGACCACGGGCCAGTCCGGGCTGGGGCCGGCGTCCGCCCGCGCCCACGGCCAATCCCGTTCCTGCTCGAGGGTCCGCGGGGGGACGCCGGACTCCGGGCCTGGGCCGCGTCCCCCGAGCCCGCCTGGGGCAGGAGGGTCAGTGCAGGGTCCGCGCGGCCGCTGCTCAGGAGCGTTGGCTCCGGGCCGTCCCCGTGCGCGCGCGGCCGCGGCTCGGCGGGATCGGCGGCCCCCGGCGGCGGCGGCGGGAAGGGCGGGAGGCGCGGCGGCGGCTGGGGGAGGCGCTGCGGCGACGGGAGCAGCGGCGGCGCCCCCTGGCGGCCCCTGGCGGCGGCGCGGCCGGAAATGGCGGCGCGGCGCGGGCGGGACGAGCCCAACGCGGTGGCGCGGCTGTCGCAATGGGCAGACGACCACCTGCGCCTCGTGCGGGTGCGCGGGGCGGGGGGCGGCGGGCGGGGGCGCGCGGGGCCCGGCACTGACCGACCCTCCCGCAGGCCGCCGGCGCCGTCCTGGGCCTGGCCGGGCTGCTGCTGCTGGGCCGGAGCCTGCGGCTGGTGAGTGCGCGCGGGCCGGGGGCGCGGGGGCGGGGACACGCAGGGGCGGGGGGGGCAGAGGGGGGACACGGGGGACAGGTGGACACGGAGAGACGGCGGGGGGGCACCGGGGACGCGGGGGGGCCAGAGGGGGCACGTGGTCACGGGGGGACACGGGGGACAGGGTGGACACGGGGAGACGGCGGGGGGCACGGGGGACGCGGGGGAGCCAGAGGGGGCACGTGGTCACGGGGGGACACGGGGGACAGGGTGGACACTGGGAGACGGCGGGGGCGGGGCACAGTGGGGGGCGGGGTCTCGGCTCTGGCCCGTGTCCGGCAGTTGCTGCCCCGAGGGAGGGCCGCAGGTGGGCCTGGACCCTGGGCCGACCCTGGGAGGAGCTGGGACAGCCGGGTTCAGGCACTGAGCTGAGGCCCAGGGGGCTGGGACAGGGGCAGCCCCGGCCCGTGCAGGGCCGGGCCACAGGTGTCATGTGTGTGTCCCCCCCCTCCCCGGGTTCCCGGGTCAGCGCTGACCGCAGTTCTCAGAGTCCTGATTGCGGGAGGTTGTGAGCGTCACCTTTGGTTTGTCTTGGAGGGCTCAGGGCTCAGGGTTACTCCCGGCTCTGTGCTCAGGGTCACTCCTGGCTCATTGCTCAGTGCTGACTCCCGGCTCTGTGCTCAGGGTCACTCCTGGCTCTATGCTCAGGGATCACTCCTAGCTTTGTCTTCAGGGCTGACTCCTGGCTCTGTGCTCAAGGTCACTCCTGGCTCAGTGCTTGGGCTCACTCCCAGCTCTGTGCTCAGGGCTGACTCCCAGCTCCGTGCTCAGGGTCACTCCTGCTGGGGCTCGGGGACCCTGTGTAGCCCAGAGACCAATGGGCGGCGTGCCAGGCCCGTGCCATCCCCGCGGTGTCTCCCGCAGACGTCCAGGTTCACCCGCGCCTCGGACATCCCTGTGGAGTTCCTCAGGAAGCAGGTGAAGCTCCGCGGGCGCGTGAGGCGCGTGACGGCCGACGGACTGGAGATTGAGCACATTCCCGTGATCCTGCCGCTCCTGGCTCGCTGGAGGAGAGGTGAGCCGGCTGCCCACCCGCACCCGGCCAGGGGTGCTACCTTGGGGCAACCCTGAGACCCCCGCCACAGCAGCCCCGCTGGCCCTCGGGAGAGCCCTGACCTCGTGCTGGTGAAACGCCGTTTCCACGGGGGAGTGGGTGGTGCCGGGCCGGGAGAGACCCGCTTTGCTCTGGCGGTCGAGGGGTGCCGGTGGGGAGGACCTTGACATGTCAGGGCTCCCCAGGGCCGCTAGCTGGGCAGGTGCTGGGCCCCAGGGTCACACAGACGCCACTGCTCGAAGCCTGTCCCCGGGCAGGTGTGGCTCAGCTGCTCCGTGACTGCCTCACTCCTGAGGCCCCGAGCCGCGTCCCCGGCCCGCAGCGCCCAGCCGAGCTCTGTGGGGGCCATAGGCTTGTGTGCGGCCGAAGTGTGCCGGGCATGAGCACTGTGTGTGAGAACACCTGGGTGTGGCAGCAGGGGGGTTCCCTGCCTGGGCATCCTCACCCACAGAGCCCGCAGGCATCACGAGCACTGTCTCACGGTCCAGGGGAGCCGGCTGGGACCCTGCAGGTGCGGCTGGCCGGGGTGGAGCTCACGGCGGCCGGGCACGAGTGGCTGCAGCAGGAGCTGCTGCCAGCACAGGCGCTGTGGTTCCAGCCGCTGGGCACGCAGGGGCCGGCACTCCTATGCTTCCTGCTGGTGAGAAAGGTGGGTGCCAGCCCTGCCCCCGCGTTTGTCCTTGGGGGGCAGGGCGGGGTCCCTCTGCGGTGCTCCTGGAAGCAGGGTTGGGGTTGGCCCTGGACCCTGACAGCCACGCCGGCTCCACCCTGCACTGGGGCGGCGGGTAGGTGCAAGTAAGGAGGAGGAGGAGGTGGGATTGATGGTTGGGAACTGCATCCCGGGCTGCCACAGGGGCCCCGAGCACCGCCAGCTCTGACCCAAGACAGCAGAGGTAGGACGGTTAAGAGTTGGGCGAAGCCTTCCCTGCACCGAAGCTAGGACAGGGAACTTGAGGAAAAGGAGGAGGCTCCGTTTGCTTACTCCGATGCTTGGGGGAGGGCTTGGGGCCTGCCTTGGGGGTCCCGGGGCCTCTGCCCGCTCCTCACGGGCATCTGCTTGCAGGGAAGGTTCTTCAGTGTGAACCTGAACGAAGAGGTCCTGCGGTGCGGGCTGGGCAAGGCGGTACCGGTGGACGGGCTGAGCCATGAGGACGCGGCCTACTGGAGTGTACACCGGCGTCTGCTTCGTGCCGAGCTGGCCGCCGTGCGTGCCGGCGTGGGGCTGTGGGCTGAGCCCGAGGCTCAGGGTGGCCGCCTGCAGCGAATCCGCGGCTCCTGGCAGCAGGCATGGGCCCAGGGCTCGTCCTGGGCGCAGAGGCTCTGGCAGCTGCTCCGCCGAGGACCATTTCCCCGGAAAGACTGAGGCAGGAGGGCCCAGGCCGGCCTGGCGGGATGCCGGGAACACTGCCAGCCTGCCCAGACGCCCACCTGCCTTTCTGTGTCCGATGGAGCCGGGGTGAGGCCAGCACTGCCCCCCAGAACCCACAGCCCTGAAGGCGCCCTTCCACCTGCTCAGGGGTCGTTCTGTCCAGTTTTGTTCATTCCCCGCCCTCCCCTCCCAGGGCTATTCGTCATGCAGTGCTCAGGACGGTACCAGGGATCAAACCTGAGCCTCCTGGTTGCAAAGTCTGTGGTCAGAGAAGAGTAGGAGCACTGTGGGGAGAGCATTGGATTTGCACTCGGCATCCGGCATCCCACATGGCCCCCGAGTACTGCCAGGAGTCACCCTGAGCATCGCCGGGCGTGGGCCCAAAATGAACCACCCAAAGCCTGCTCCCAGCTCCACCCAGACAGATCTGTGAGCACAGAGCCAGGAGTCACCCTGAGCACTGCCGACCCCCATCCCCCAACCAGCACCAGCAGCCCAGCCCTCCTTGGGGTGGGGGGATCGCTGTTTCATGCACTGAAAGCATGTGCGAGGCCTGGCTTTGCAGGAGGGCCCCCAAGCACAGCAGGTGACCCTCAGAAAAATGCTTCAGGAGAAAACCTTTTTGTGTGAAAAGAGTGTGGATTTTGAAAATATTTATTTTGGGCGCATCAAGCATCCTGTACGTGTTCTGTAAAGATTCAATAAACGAAACAGACGCCGACATGCGGTTCTCCAAATGCGTTTTCCCCCCTTCTATTACTGTTATGTGGGAAAACCTGACCATTTGTCTTCTGGTTAAGAAGAAGCAGCTGGTGGTGAAGGAGGCGGCACAGAACGGGGACTCTGAGCAGCGTGGAAACCGGGATTTTCCGGGTGCTGGGAATGGCCTCCCCCTCTCCCGTTTCAAAGCTTCAGAATCTGCTCTGACTTTCTTAGGTTTCCTGCCCCGCCCCGCCCCCACCCCCTCCCCCCAGCCATGCAGTTTGGCGGAACGTTTGGTTAGCACCTATAAATATTGTCACTTTTTTCCCCCATTTTATTTTTTATTTTAAATGACTTATTTACAAAGCTGCTCATGGTTGGACTTCATACGATGTCCAGCACCCCCCTCCCCTCCAGTTTATACCCGCACCGAGTCCCGTCTGCCTCAGGCAGGCAGACCCTCTCCTCCCTGTGGGCAGGTTTGGTTGGCGATGCAGATGCTGGAAGCGCTCGGTTCCGGTCCAGGGTGACCCCTTCCAGCTCCTGCTGTCACCGCCCTCTGTCCTAACCCCCCACCCCACTCCCTTGACTATTGTCGCTTTGCAAAGTATTTCCTTCGGGGGCCACACTCTGGACTTGGGGGGGCCCTTCCCTGCCAAGCTTTCCTGCCGCCCCCAGCGGGTCACCTGCTGGGCTCTGGGTCAGGCCCTCAGCACCCTGTGGAATGTGGAGTGGCCCTGGAGGGGACCGGACACTCCATGGAAGCATCAGCTTTGTCCTCTGGCCAGAGAAAGTGTGGGAGCCGAGACCCGCCTGGGGTCTGGTAGAGGCCTGGTGGGACAAAGGGGGGGCGCCCCTCCCCCTCCCCTGAGCAGAGCAGGCCAGAGTACCTCTCAGTGCTCGGCTGGACAGTGCTCACCCCGCGCCCTCTGCCCCGGGTTCTTCTGGAGCCACATGTGTCTGTGCGGGGCTGGAGTCATAGGGATGGGGACCCCATGGGGCCTGCGTTCAGCCCCCTGCAGTGCTGTGCGGAGGCCCCAAGGCACACTGGCCCCCGCAGACCCCCTCACTGCCTCCCCAGGCCTGGCCACATGGATGAGCCGGCCCATGCCCCTGACTCACAGATGGACAGGGAGGGCGCTGGCCTTGCCCGCGGCCAACTCAGGCTTGATTTGGCCACTAGAGACTCCTCAGGGCCCCTGGAGAGTGAGTCCCGAGCCCAGGAGCACAGACGGGGCAAGCCTGGGTGAGCCCGGGAGCACAGACGGGGCGAGCCTGGGTGAGTCCGGGAATACAGATGGGGTGAGTCCCGAGCCTGGAGCAGAGACAGGGCAAACCCTGAGCGTGAGGTGTGGTATCCCTTAACCCCCCAAAACCCAACCCAACCCACCTCCCCTCTGTAAGAAAGACAGTGCAAGGTCTAAAGTTTGGCTGACAGGTGGGGACTGTCCCTGGCCACACCTGCCCATCTGCCCCCAGAAAGCTCAGAGGACAGGAGAGACCAGGGAGGCGAAGTTGGTAGTGGGTGCCTGGGTTCAGCCAGTCCTGAAACTATCTTCTTGGGTTTTGTTATTTTTTCAGTTTTTGAGTTTTTTAAATTTTGGGCCAACCCCAGTAGCACTCAGGGCTGACTCCTGGCTCTGTGCTGAGGGCTGACTACCGGCTCTGTGCTCAGGGTTGACACCTGGGCTCTGTGCTCAGGCTCACTCCTGGTGGCCCTGTGTGGGGCCCAGGCCCGAGAAGGGCGGCCTCCCAACCCGACTGGGGTTCTGTCACTTCCCTGGTGAAGGCAGAGGCCTGGAAGCGGGTGGCACCTGCCCAGTCTCAGAAGCCCCTGCTGAATCAGCCCCAAGAGCACCTTGCAGCCTCCCTGCGCCCTGAGAAGCAGAATCGCATCCCACTGGGCTGTCCAGCCTCGCCCCTGCCTGCCCCCTGGACAAGGCTGACCTGTGGCTGGCGGGATGTGATGTGATGCTCTTAAACGGGACTTGTCGTTTTTTTTTGTTTGTTTTGTTTTGCTTTTTGGGTCACACCTGGCAATGCTTAGGGGTTACTCCTGGCTCTGCACTCTGCACTCAGTGCTCCGGGGACCATATGGGATGCTGGGAATCGAACCTGGGTTGGCCGTGTGCAAGGCAAATGCCCTACCCGCTGTGCTATGGCTCCAGCCTTGGGACTTGTCGTTTTTGTTACAACCCAAAGCAACATTTCTCGCTGCTGGACAAACCCACTTCCAGCACCAGGCTCCTTCAGCAGCCTCGGAGACACCAGCACATTCGTCACCCTGCCAGCCTCCCTGTGACCCTGGCGTCGGGCCAGCACCCAGGGCTGACGACACAGAGGAAGGTGCAGGGACTCCGGAAGCCGCCAGCCCTGCGTTGCTCCGATTTCAGTGGGGCGAGAGGTGCTCCCTGGTGCCAACAGACCTGCAGGCAGAGGCCCGGTTCCATCCCAGCAGAGCCCGAGAAGCCCCAGAGGTGCAGAATAAGGATTTCTGGATGACGTCTGTGTCTGGAACACGCAGAGAGCTCAGCAGGGTTAGGACAGCCAGCAGCACCTCAGCCTGTTGCTTCCGCTCCTGTTTGTCAGGGTTTGGGGTCACTCCCAAGGGCTGCTTAAGGCCGTCTTGGTTTCTTTCCCCTCTGGCTTCTGAGTCATCATGGAGACAATCACCACTACAAATCTCCAGGGGCCAGAGAGATAGTGCAGGGGCAAAGGGCCTTGGCCTGCAATGGGGAGTCCCAGGCTCCATACGGGAGAGAGTCCTGAGCACAGAGCCAGGAGTCAGCCCTGAGCACAGAGACAGGAGTAAGCCCTGAGCACAGAACTAGGAGTCAGCCCTGAGCAGAGCCAGGAGTCAGCCCTGAGCACAGAGACAGGAGTCAGCCCTGAGCACAGAGCCAGGAGTCAGCCCTGAGCAGAGCCAGGAGTCAACCCTGAGCACAGAGACAGGAGTCAACCCCGAGCACAGAGATAGGAGCGACCCTGAGCACAGAGCCAAGAGTGATGACAGAGCCCAGAGCCAGGAGTGAGCCCTGAGCACAGAGCCAGGAGTGAGCCCTGAGCACAGAGCCAGGAGTCAGCCCTGAGCACAGAGACAGGAGTCAACCCTGAGCACAGAGCTAAGAGTGATGACAGAGCCCAGAGCCAGGAGTGACCCTGAGCACAGAGCCAGGAGTCAGCCCCGAGCACAGAGCCAGGAGTGAGCCCTGAGCACAGAGCCAGGATTGAGCCCTGAGCACAGAGCCAGGAGTGACCCTGAGCACAGAGCCAGGAGTCAGCCCTGGGCACAGAGCCAGGAGTGACCCTGAGCACAGAGCCGGGAGTCAGCCCTGCACAAAGTCAGGTTGGCCCTGTATCCCTCCCACACACCCAACCAACCAAACTAAAGATGAGTGTCCCAGAGTGAGTCTTGCTGGGAAGCCTTGCCCCAGAGCCGGTGTCTCAGAGCCGGTGAGCCCAGAGCCTCAGGCATCTTGTTCCGGCAAGCCTGTGGGGGGCGCTGGCCAGAAGGGGCTCCTGGGCTTGGGGGCTTGGGGCTTCTTTTGTGGCTTCTTTTGTGGCTTCTTTTGTGGCGCCTGCTCGGCACTGCATGCGGGAGCCTACGGGGTGCCGAGGGCAGGACGCCCCCTCCCTGTGCTGTCCCGTCCCTGGCCTGGGTCTGCCTCTAAAGTTTTCTCTCCCGGGGACCGGAGTGATAGAACAGCGGGTAGGGCGTTTGCCTTGCACAGAGCTGACCTGGGTTCAATCCCCGGCATCCCATATGGTCCCCCAAGCACCGCCAGGAATAATTCCTGAGTGCAGAGCCAGGAGTAACCCCTGAGCATCGCTGGGTGCGACCCAAAAAGCAAAATAAATAAATAAATAAATAAAATAAAGTTTTCTCTCCCGCACGGTGCTCGGCCAGGATGTAGTGACCGCTGGGTACGGAGAGAATAAGACGGGCTCTTTCCTGGGCATCCCTGGGGGTACGAAAGGCGAGGGTTCTGGGGGGTCAGGTAGCGCTGCAGACCCCCAGCTGCCCCGCCCGCTGTGGATTCTAACCCCGCCCGCCTGGACTAACAATGCGGCAGGTTGAATGGGCTGAGAAATGCAAAGCCTGGAGACCTCATGCCGGAACGGCGGCCAGTCCAGGCGCCCCTAGAAAGCTGAGCCCCTGCGCTCCCCCCACCTCAGTGCCCTTCGGGCCCCCCCCCTCCGCCCTCCTAGGGTCCAGGCACCCCTCTGCCACCCTGCCCCCTCTAACCGCCGCAGCAGCTGGAGGGGGAGGGCAGCCTTGGGAGAGAGCCACCAAGTTCCGGCCCAGAACCCCTGCCGGGCAGAGGGCGGTAGGGTCCTGGGCCCTCCCGCTCCAGGCCTTGAGGGGTGCAGAAGCGAAGGGGTGCCGGCCTGGGATGGGTTAGAAGGAATAAGGGACAGATGTGTCCTGGGAGGGCGGGTGCAGGCCAGGGGTGTGTGGGTGTGTGCTGGCAGGGCTGCAGGCCACCAATACAGCCCGGGGCACAGCCCCAGGGGTATAGTCTTGGGGTACAGCCCCAGGGGTACAGGCCTAGGGGTACAGCACCAGGATGCAGGTTCAGGGTGTAGCCCAGGGTACAGCCCTTGGTACAGCCCCAGAGGTACAGGCCGGGACACAGCCGGGAGCACAGCCTGGGGTACAGCCCAGGGCACAACCCCAGAACTATAGCCCGGGGTACAGCCTCAGGGGTACAGCCCAAGAGCATAGCCCAGGGCCCAGCCCGGGTTCCAGCCGCCTGCCCGGCCCGAGTTGCCCGCTCCGGTCCGCGCTCCAGTCCTGCTTTCCCGGGCGCGCGGCGGGCGGGGTCGGCCGCGGATTTGAATGAGAAAGCGGCGGCGGCGGCGGCGGCCCCGGACCCGGACCGGCTCGGCGGCGGGACCTGCTGCCCCTCGCGCGCGGACTGTCCAGCAGGTCGGCAGGTCGGTGCCCGGGAGGACCGGGCCAGGCGCGCAGCAGGTGGCAGGCGGCGCGCTCCGGGTTGCCGGGTGCTGGGGGTGCTG